TGTTTGCAGCTGAAACTGGCCATGAATCTGTGGTGCAGCTGCTGAACGGCACCCAATGATGAGATGGCATTCTTGGCCCTGCTATCCCGGCTTTTAGCTGGTCCTTCCGCCGCGACCGCTACGAGTTGACCTCTATACGTTCTGTGAGCCTCCAAGCGAGGCCATGCAGCCATTGTTATCGGTTAGATGCCGGGGCAGGAATTGCCGAATTGGATGCTGAACGTTGGTCACCAAAAAAATATGGAGGGCTTTGCAATGCATGTAAGTCTGTGCAATTGTTCCCCGAAAACATGGCGAAGGCTTCTTCGTAAAACTGACTGTTATTCATTGCATCTTCATCATCAGACCTGCATCATCGTCACTATCTATCATGGCATTTTTATCATCACCTTGCCATTCATCATCATCATCATCATCAGCACCTGGACGTTGCAATGACAGTGAGATTCACCTTGACTAGGAGATGGGCGTTTGTGCTGTGTACGATCAAGATTATCGGTCGAAGTACATTGGTCTCTCAAGGACTCGGTTTCGGGTGTCGTTTGTGCGCGCCTCTTGGCTCCTCTTTTGAAGTGGCCTTCGTGGTTTTCCTGAGTTGTGATTTCACGTTTCTGTGGGTTTCTGTAGCTCGGGGCTTCGACTTCTTCGCTAAACCTACAACGCGCTAGAGCGGTTGAGCTCCAGGCCTAGTGGCTGGAGCAGCATGCAGTCTGAACGTGTGCTCATTGGCTGCAGAAACATCCAGAGAAGCGTGGCAACGCCGAAGCCATTGGCATCAAGGGAAGCAGGGAACAGCCCCAAAGCAGTCCAAATCCATGAGTTGATTGTGGTTACGATTGGGTCCCAGACATGCCTGCAATGGCTGAGCAGACACTGGCATCGTGGATGGAAGGGGAACGAACTTCTCTGGCAGTGGGATTGATTACTAAAACCGCTGTTTTTGCCCCCTCCCTTGCCAATGCCAGAGCCATGCCTGATGTCGAACCTGGGAGCGCTGAGTTCTGGATTTTGGACATGCACGGAATGATTTCTAGAGTCTGAATTGGCGAAGGGTTGAAATTCAATCATTCCGGGAGGTTTTATAGCTTGTGGTTCGCGTGTTCGGCCCAATGTTGTCTTCGTCACTAGCTACGAGCGTACCATGGGCAATGTTCTGACAAGCCACATGGCGACGATGTTGTTCCTGTTTGTTTTTGGCCAAAGCATGTATAACTTTGTACCGAGGGTCAGAAGTCTATCGTGCATCAGCAGGGACGACGGCGGCCTGGCTTGTGCAAACATGTTCGGGCATGGGCCTGGAATTTCGGAGGTCTGCACCAGTTTTCCATCTTTTCATCCTGTTGCTTCAAGTTTGCAGCTCGAGCCCTAGCACAAAATCTAGTTTAGCGCTTGTTGTGCTACGAGCCTCAGTTGAGAAGGGACGAGCTCGCCTATGCATGCGTGCCTGAGCCCTAAACCTTAAACGTGAAACCCCAAACTCTCAAACCCTGAACCCCATGGGAGGATCCTGAGTAGCCAAAACAGTACCCAACGCTCAGCGTCTGAATAACTTGCTTTTTTCAGGTACTGGGAGAATTGGAACGGAGCATTAGGTCGTGACTCCTTGAAAGCATCCATCACGCGCATTTCTAGTTTTGGCAACGCCCATTTAAACAAGCCACTCAGTCTGCAAGGCGCGCGGACGGCATCACGAAAGCGGTATCTCATGAAGAGCCCCTTCGAAGGCAGACAGTCATTGCCAGCAGGATTGTTTCAACCGTGCACTGATGTATATCTAGTCTTACAGATACGAGCATACGTTCTGCATCTAGGTCCCGGGATAGCTGGCCACCGGTTGTGAGTTGGGAGACAGCAGCAAATCTTGCAGCTGTGCTTCTGCAGCTGTTGTGGCTGAATGCTGACGTAGCCTTGTTCCTCTCCTCGAGACTGGGAAATAAGCGTGGCCACTTATGCCTGGTCAAGCGAAGCGGGTCAGTGCCTGCCGACGCCAGCGCAGATCATGTCAGGTACTTGCAGTGAGTTTGGCAGTCGTCCTCTTGCGGGCCGGCACCTCCTTCACCAGCGGAGTTACCGAGTTTGCACCAGGTGCTTCAAAGCCGCCATCAGTCGGACTCTCACCGTCACGGCAGGTCATGTGCTTGCCACGGGTGGCGCGCAACGCAGAGAACATCATCCTGGGTGGTGTCATTGATGTCACAAAGATGGCAAGCGAAACGACCATCATCTTGCAGTGCTTGGCGGCCACATCTCTTGTCGTGCTTGGCAACTACCTCATCGCAAAAGAGGAGAACGAGAAGAAGGAAGAGGCTGAGAAGGAGGCGCTGGAGGAGGCTGAGCGGGAAAAGAAGCGCCAGGAAGTCATGGCTCGAGCACAGCCGGGGTCCTTGCCGAAAGAAGACTGCGAAATTGAATTGGATGGGGCCAAGAAGGCGATTGAAGAGGAAGAGTACGACATCTATCGCGACTCGCTCCTCCGCTACTTGGGCTACAGCAATGAGTTGGGGGAGGCATTGCGACCTGTGCTTCCCGCAGCATACCTGGCATCCTATGCCTTGGCCTTTGCCTATGTGTTCGCAGACTCCGCTGACAAGGGTCAGCGTGCCGACAAGAAGAAGCGCCAGAAGCTCGCCAAAAACACTTTCCTTATGTTAGACAAAGGTTGCGAGGGATGCTTGACGAAGGATGACATGAAGGTTGCTTTCAAGAAGTTGCAGACTCCGTTGTCCGATGCGGAGATCGACCAGTACTTTGCCAAGTTGTGCACCAACGGAAGTGAGATCCTCAGTTGTTTCCGGCTTACTTATCAAAAACGGGGAGGAGGATTTGCACAGCGTGCGGCGCAGGAGGCACCGAAGCATCTACCAAGTGGGTTTAGGGTCTAGGTGTTGAAGATCAGCTGAGGCGAGGTCATCGACCTACAACAATTCATGGCGGCCTTTGATGAGGAAGACGACAAGTTGCTTCGTCTTGTGGAGAGCACTGAGAAGCCCTCGAACGACAGCGGTCCTCTGGATAATCCTTTCCTAGTTGCCGGAGGTGATGCGTTGATCTGGCAAGTGATTGCATCCGTTGCACTTCCTGGTTTTACCATCAATCGCTTCGTCACGCTGGCTGAAATTGGTTGCGAGGCTCAGGCTGCCAACAATATCATCGCCGAGTACTTGCCAACTGTTCTTGGGCTCTCCTTGATCCCCATTGTCTGCAAGCCCTTGGACGAGCTTGCAGATGTTGGCCTTGATGCCACTCTTCGACCCCTTCTCTTCTCCGCACTTGATGCAGACAAGAGCCTAGGTGCCCCAGTAGTACCCTTTTGCCCTTTTTAGTTTGGGGTCCCCTAATTAAAACCGAACATTAAGAAAAAGGGTACCCTTATTATTAAGGGGTTACCGGGGAACCTAGGAGCGGGACCGTGGACTACGATGAGCTCGCAGACAAGCTGAAGGTGCGGGACGGCGATGTGAACGAAAAAGCCTTGCGCCGACTCTTCGAGGACGTTTCAAAAACAACACTACAGGGTTTAGGGTTTAGGGTTCAAGTTTTAGGGTTTTAGGGTTTAGGTTGTAGGGTTTAGGGTTTAGGTTGTAGGGTTTAGGGTTTAGGTTTTAGGGTTTAGGGTTTAGGTTTTAGGGTTTAGGGTTTAGGGATAGTCTAAAGCGACCCCAAGAAGGGGGACCCCCGAAATTTTCAGAGACCCAACTCCCCCTTTGGAGGACATGGACACGGACAACAACGGATGCATCTCGGTCGAGGACTGGGCGGATGGTGGCTTCGCCCGGTACAAGGCCTTCATCGAAAGTGAGCGCAAGGGAAAGGTGAAAGTGCAGGTCCCGCCCTGAGGCAGCACGACCTCGGTGTGTTTTCTCCCCCCCGTTGTAAACGGGAGCCTCAAGGGTAAGTTGGATTTCTATTCCGATCAACACCTCTAGAGAAGGGGCGTTAAAAATCGGGGGGGAGGGGATTGGACATGATCTAATACTCCTGCAGGATCTTCCGCCCAGGAGAAATCATCAGAAGCCTGGGCTTAGAGCTCGGGAGGATAGCGTGCACGTCTGAGATGTACATTGCTAGACCCTGGCTCTCTCCCTGGCGAGGAGACTCTCTTGTTGGTCTCAGCTCCCAGGGGGCTGTCTTGGTATTGATTAAGCGCGAGAAGGTTCCTGCTTCAGTTTCATTGAATGAAACCTGAAGCAGGGCGCATGTCTTCCTTGACTTCAAGCTAAAACGGCATGGTGACCACCGGAGTTATGAAGGCAAAAACAGGGAGCGCATGCAGAGCTTTGCGCCACAGGTTGGGGAGGGGGGGAGACTATTGGCTCACAGAAAACTACCCAAATTAAATAGTCGGTGTATGCAGCGATAGGATGTGGTTGAAGCTGACTGCATAGTCCGTCTCCATTTTGAGCATATCTCGCAGCAAGAAAGGATTGTGATGTAGGAGAGGTCTCTAATGTCAAAACTATATTCCTTGGTGTGAGGAAGGTGTATTACGCTTCCCTAAACCCCAAGCCCTATAAACCCTAAACCCAAGGTTAGGCTGAGGGTTTCAAGCTCTGTTTCTCAGGATGTGGACCACGCTGGAGGCGGCAGCGGATATTGCCATCGGCAGCCGGTGATAGAAAAACTGACTGTGGGCGCAGACAGAGGGGATCAGGGTTGAGGGTCTAGGCTTTAGAGGTTTAGGGGTTTAGGGTTTAGGGTTCAGTGTGTGTTTAGGTTCTTTCATAAGCCATCCAGTCCATGCATAGGCACATGTGAGTTCTGCTGTACGTGCCAATCCTTCAGCCTTTGTTTTTTAAAACCGGGACCTGCGATTTAAGGCTTAGAAGCTCAGGCTAGGGCGAATTTTGTCTGACAGATTACCATGTCCAATTGAAAGTCTTTCTTGTGATGTTCTTAGATGCGTACCATCTCAGATGTTCTGGAAGCCACGCATTTATCCTGTAAGACGGATTCCTCCAAAAACCTGAGGCCCCAAACCGTAAGCCCTAGACCCTAAGGATTTATGCTTAAGGGGTTTAGGGTTCAGGTTTTATGGACCTTAAACCCATAAACTCTGGGGACCTTCAAACTTGCGGGATTTAGGGTGTTTCTTATTGGGCACGTCGTGGCTCGGCAGGCTCCTTTACGAGGCTACAGGACTGGCAGCCTTAGCTCCCTGGTTCTTAGTAGGGAATGGGGGAATGGATCCCTATGATAGTCCCTTAACATCCCCTATAGTAGTCCCAAAAACCTAGAACCAGGGAGTTAAGGTCGTTGAATTTACAACAAGCCTCGAGCTGACGGCGCCTGCTGTTTGTAACGCTACAGCCGCCGGCCCGCAACTGACTTCAAGTTCGACTACGCCTCAAGGCAATCACGCTATCTGTCTCCTTAACTTCAGCTCTCAGCAGCTATCTTTTGCATCGTGCCCCGCCTTCCCCCCTGTTCCCTCTGCACCGGGGTGATGTTGTGGACATGCGTGATCCACACCAAAGTCTTAAGTTGAGCCCCGGCTGTGCGCCGGCCTCTGTGCCATGGAGCCCCCGGCCTGTGGCCACAGCACTAAGGACTTGCTCCGGCGTCTGGCAGTCGTGTCCCTGCCTTCGTATCCCATTTTTGTGGCAACACGGAGTGTTGGCTTGGTGTCGACAGCCATGGTTGGCCGGCATGTACAAGACCCAGCTGCCTTGGCTGCTGTGGGTTTGAGCAATGTGATCACCAACATCACGGGCTACTCCGCTTTGTGGGGTTTGTCCAGTGCGGTGTCGACCTTCAGCTCACAGGACTGGGGGGCCGGGAACTTCCGTGCGCTGGGCGTCACTCTCCAGCGCGCCTATCTGATCTTGGTGCTCTTCGTGTGCCTGCCCCTTCTGGTGCTGTGGCTCAATTCTGAGAGGCTTCTGGTCGCATGTGGCCAGCACCCAGATGTGGCACACTATGTGGGCATCTATACCTCGGTGCGCTGTTGGTCCTTGGTTTGTATGCCCATGAACTGCGTGCTGTCGAGGACGCTGGGTGCCATGAGCAATGTGCAAATCAACCTCATCATGAGCCTCACGGCATCGGTCCTCAATGTGGTCTTGAGCTCCACTTTGGTGCCCCGCCTTGGGTTTTGTAGGCGCCCCGCTCACTGCTTGTATATGCGACATCTATGAGAGCATCGGTATCTTCATACTGGCAACAAGGAACGCAGACTTTCGGAAGTGTTGGGGGGGTTTCTCTCGTGCGGCCTGGCACGAGTGGCTCCCCTACTGCAAGGTCGCTTTACCTGCCCTGGTCTTGAGGTGCATCGAGTGGTGGACTTGGGATTTGCAGAGCTTTATCGCTGGCTTCATTAGTGAAGATGCTCAGGCGGCGCAGTCTAAACCCTAGACTCCCCTGGACCCTAAACCCTAAACTCTAAACCCCTAAACCCGAAAACCCTAAACCCAGAGGCGGTGCAGTCAGTTGCGCCGGCAGTGGGCGACCTTCAGTACGCCCTCGGCCAAGCATTTGGAAATGGAGCCGCTACGGTGGTGGGCAACATGTTGGGAGAAGGTGGAGCTTTAGGGTTTTTAGGGCTTTAGGGTCATTTAGGGTCTTAGGGTTTAGGGTCTTAGAGCTCTAGGTTTCTAAGGTTTTAGTTCGGGTTGGGAGAAGGTGACTTCAAAGCCGCGAAACGCGCGGCTTCTCTTACAGTTGGCTGCAATGCCCTCGTGATGATGCTGCAACTCTTGGTCTTCATCATCTTCCGAAGCAATGTGGCGTCGCTCTTCACGCAAAATTCGGATATCTTGGCTGGTATCATCTCCCTGCTCCCCTTCTCGCTGAGCTTCAGCTTCATCGATGGCAATCAAAGTGCCATCTGTGGCGTCCTAACAGGGGCCGGGAAACAGCACCTGGGTGCCGGTATTGTCTTCGTTTGCTACTGGGTCGTGGGTGTTCCCCTCGGGATTCTCCTGGCCTTCGGTACTCTGGGTCCTTGTTGGCTACAATTTTACATTTTTGTTCTAATAAAACCTAGTAAGGATCATTTTTAATATAACCCCAACTGGGAACCAGGTACTCTGGGCACAGTCTTTGGGCTCGAGGGTCTCTGGATCGGAATGCTGGTGGCTGTCTCTGGGCATCTCTCGCTCTTCCTGCTGGTGCTCTGGCGCCTAGACCGGCAGATCATCCCTAAACCCTCAACCCTGAACCCTCAACCCTAAACCCCTATACTCTAAACCACCCTAAACCCTAAACTACCCTAAGCCCTAAACCCTAGGACCCCCCAAAAGAGGCGCCTGGACTGGCAGAGCATCGCACAGCAAGTGCGGAGCCGGGAAGATCGGACTTCTGCCAAATGAACAGCAGATGCCATTTTAGTCGTTTTGTATGAATTGCTTGCGCTCACGCCTTGTGCTTCCATCAGCCTCATCGAATCCGAGAGGCGAAGCCCCGAGGAGAGGCTTGCAGGATCCTCCTAGGCCCTCAAACCCTCGAACCCTCAAACCCTAAAGCCTAAGCCCTCAACCCTAAACCCTAAGGCCCTAAGACCCTAAGACGCTAAGACTTTTTAAAACATGTCATGATGTCCATCGGAGTGACATGATGTCCATCGGAGTGAGGCTGGCGAATTTTTTGAAAAGGGCCACGTCAAGTGTTGGGGAAGGAAGGGGAGGGGTCCCCTTAGTGAGTAGTGGGCCCCATGCAATGATAGGTATCTTGCAGAACCCTCAAAACTAAACCCTTAAACCCTAAACCCCTAGACTCCTAAGCCCTTAAACCCCAAACCCTAAACCCTAAATCCTAAACTGTGAGGGAATCCCTTTTGCAGGGTACCCAAAATGGCGTGAGATCTGAGATGGGAGTCTCTCAGGTTGGTGGTGGGGAGAGGTTCTCGGTTCCCGAGTGAGCCCTCCTGAGGTAGGGTTTGGGGTTTAGGCGGTTTAGGGTTGTGTTGTGTCTTTGTGTCTCTATATATCTGTATCTCTGGGTCTTATTAATTCTATTTGTCTCTCGCTCTCTCTCTCTCTCTCTTTTTCTGCGTCTCTGTGTCGCTCTCTTCTGGATCTCTCGCTCTCTCTCTCTCTCTCTCTGTGCATCTCTTTATCTCGCAGTGTCTCTCTTTATCTTTCTCTCTCCCTCTCTCTCTCTCTCTATTTCTCGCTGTCTCTGTCTCTCTCTCTATCTCTTTCCCTCTCTCTTTTTCTATATATCTTTATCTGTGTATACCAGCTTGATTCTTGGCGTGTATGCTTTTCGTCATTGCGGCCACGCCTTTCCACGGAATGCGCGTAATTAGTGTACAGAGCTGCATGTAACTAGTTAGTGAATTTGGTGAGCCAACGACCTTTCACGGCAGAGAAAAGAGAGACAGACCCAGAAACAGAGAGAGAGAGAGAGAGAGAGGGAGAGAGATAGAGATCTAATTCCGTCATCGTACACTTTATGGCTTGAGCCATATGGGGACTTATATTCGTTTGTCATTCCCCGATGTCTAATAATATATCGGGTAGGCTACTCAGCCCGGGGACGTTAACCCGTCCCTATGCCCAAGAGAGAGAGAGAGAGAGAGAGAGACACAGGGATATAAATACCAGCAGCTGCTTGAATTTTATATAATTACCATGATCGGATTATGAACGGGGAGCCGTGATATTGTACATATTAATTTTAAGAAGAATGTCAACTATTAAACCTATAACGATTGCTGCGCAATTATTCGCGTCGATATTGATTAAGAAAAAGCTGCCATTTATTGCTCCATGAGACATTATTAGATCGATTGATTAATCTTGCCGGATACTATAGCCCAAACACAAAAAAACATAAACTTTGACGACTATGACAAGGATGATTATGATAGCGGCGATGATATTTAATAATGTAGGCAGACCCCGAATCGGAATAGCGATATTGTTTCCCCTCATATGAATGACATAAGTTCGGTCTGTTATTCGGAAATAGAGATATAGATCCAGAAATTTAGAAAGATAGATCGTATTATAGAGCCGGACACCGGTCTTGACGAGATTCTCTATAAAAATCGTATATAAGGATATGATGAGAAATTTGGATCTATATAGATTTTATAGATAAAATTTGAAATGAAATTTGGAAGTATTCTAAATCTATTCTTTAAATTTTGTTAAAATTTTTACAATATATTTTATTAAGAAAAAATTGAGTTCGAAAATATACCGATATCAATAATCTATAAGGATTTCAATTATTTATATTTTTATGAATTATATATCGAAATCTTAGTTTTTTGTGCGATTTAATAAAAAATTACATTTATATAGTATTTTTAAAATTAGGATTATAGAAAGGCGATTAATTATATGAAGAAAAGAAGATAGATCGAAAATGAATCGTTAAGATATATTAGTGTAATTTTTATTCTTAGTCTTTGGATTTACCGTTCCTCTAATCTTCTAATGAGATTTTCTCCTTTAAAAGATTTTCCTATTAGTAATAATTTTCAATTTTTTTGCCTATTATATATATCTACTATTTATCTTAATTTCTCTCGCCTCTCCTTATATATCTATTCTATCTTCCTCGTCCATCTTCTGTACGCTCAATACTATAATTTGGCCGGCCGATAACATCTTCAATTTGTCGATATCTAATATAGTCGGAGCCTTCGGGCCGCTAGCCACTCCCCCCCCCCTCGTCTCGTCCCTCCCCTCGCTCTCATTTCTTTCACTCCATCCAATCTGCTATATCCGTCCTTCCTATCTTGTCATTTCTCTTCCCCTCTTTCCTTCTTCCTTATCGCCGAGTCTGCCTCCCATCTCCATCCGTATCTTTCTTTCAATCTCTTCCATATCTCTCTTCATATATATCTCTATATCTCCTTCCATATCTCCCCTCCTCCACCATCTCCTCGACATATCTCCTTCCATTGTGGAGCGCAGCAAACGGACTTG